AGTCAAGATTAATTAAAAAAAGTAAGTATTTTCATTTCTAACATTAAAAACTAACGTTTACTTTGTTGGTCAGTGCATTGAATGTAGGATTTGGGAGGTCATATTGCTGCTGTACAGGGCAATGGTTAGGCCACTACTGGAATAATGCGTGCAAATCTGGTCTCCCTCCTATAGGTAGGATATTGTGAAACTTGGAAGGGTTCAAAAAAGATTTACAAGAATGTTGCCAGGGTTGGAGGGTTTGAGCCATAGGGAGAGGCTGGATAGACTGGGGCTATTTTCCCTGGAGCATCGGAGGCTGAGGGGTGACCTTATAGAGGTTTATAAAATCACGAGGGGCACGGATAGGGTAAATAGACATGATCCTTTCCCTGGGGTGTGGGAGTCCAAAACAAGAGGGTTTTAAACAACAAGGTTTAAGGTGAGAGGAGAAAGATTTAAAAGGGGCCTAAGGGGCAACTTTTTCACGCAGAGGGTGGTGCGTGTATGGAATAAGCTGCTAGAGGAAGCAGTGGAGGCTGGTACAATGACAACATTTAAAAGGCAGCTGGATGGATATATTAATAGGAATGGTCTGGACGAATATAAGCCAAATGCTGGCAAATGGGACTAAATTTATTTAGAATATCTGATTGGCAGGGACAAGATGGACAAAAGGGTCTGTTTCCGTGCTGTATATCTCTGTGACTCTTTGATTCTAATTTGATAAATTTTGTGTCAATTTACTTCTGTTTGCTGCTATTTTGCTTTGGCTATGACATCACTTTTAAGGTTTAAGAAAATTAGGTAAATTTAAGGAAATTAAATATGTGATGCATAATATCATGAGAGAGGACAGCGAATAGTTCAATTTGAGTATCCATAGATCACAGGCTATGTATCTTTAAACAGGGTCTGTTAATTACATAACAGATTTGAATGTTTACCTGCTCACACTTTTAATCAGTAAGGGAATCAAGGGTTTTGGGGAAAAGGCAGGAAAGTGGAGTCAATCACATCAACCATGATCTCAATGAATGGTGCAGACTCGATGGACTGAATGGCCTACAGCTGTTGCTGCATATTAGGGTCTTAGTGATCCTGCTGTGCACTTGGGCCCCAGCTACTCACAATATATATCAATGGGTTGGAGGCAGGAACCAAATGTAATATTTCCAAATTTTCAGATGGTACAAAGCTAAGCAGGAATCTGTCCAATGGGGCAGATATAGAGAGGCTTCAGAAGGATTTGGCAAGGCTTAGTGAATGGGCAAGAATATGGAAGATGGAGTATAGTGTGGAAAAAATATGACATGCACAGTATTTCTGAAATGATAAGAGGTTGGAAAGTGTAGATGTACAAAGGGACCTAGGTGTCTTCATCAATGAGTCAACAGAAGCTAACAAGCAGATGCAGCAAGCTCTTAGGGAGGCTAACGGAATGTAGACTTTATTGCAAGAAGATTTGAGTATAGTAGTTGCAAAGTCCTGTTTCAATTGTTTAAGAGCTTGGTTAGACTGCATCTGGAGTACTGAATGCAGTTATTGTTATAATTGAAAGATATTATTGCTGTAGGGGAAATGCAAAGAAGTTTCATGAGACTTGCTCCTAGGATAGCAAGACTGTCCTATGAAGAGAGATTGGACAGACTAGACCTGGCATTTATTCTCTAGCAATTTGAAGAATGAGAGGTGATCTTATTTAAACCCACAAAATACAGAGTCAATGTAGTAAGGTGTTTTCCTTTGTTGGACAGTCTAGAACCAGGGGGCACAATTTAAAAAAAAGAATCCATTTAGGATGAAGATGAGAAGAATTTTTCTTACTCAGAGGATTGTGAATCTCTGGAACTGCCTATCACAGAGGGCTGTGGAATTACAGTCTTTGACTACTTGCAGAGATTGATTTCTGATTACCAATAGCACAGAGAGTATGGGGATAGTGTAGGTAAAATGTATTGAGGTGTTCAATCGACCATGTTTCTATTAAATGGCAAAACAGGCTCTGATAAGAAATGTTTGCTCTGTGAATGAAAATAAATAAAATTAATTGCCTCCTCAAATACCACATTAAATGGCTATGCTAGACTGTTGATCCAAAGACCCAGGTAATGTTCTGGGAAGAGATAGTAGGAACTGCAGATGCTGGAGAATCTGAGATAACAAGGTGTAGAGCTGGATGAAACACAGCAGGCCAAGCAGCATCAAACATTTTCTGAAGAAGGGTCTAGGCCCAAAACGTCAGCTTTCCTGCTCCTCTGATGCTGCTTGGCCTGCTGTGTTCATCCAGCTCTACACCTTGTTATCTCTAATGTTCTGGGAACCTGGGTTTGAAACCTGCTATGGCAAATGGTGAAATCTGAATTCAATAAAAATCTGGAATGAACAGTCTGATGATGACCATGTCACCACTGTTGTCAGAAAAAATACCACCTGGATCACTAATCTCCTTTAGGGAAGGAAACTGCCATCCTTACCAATCTGGCCTACATGAGACTCCAGACCCACAGCAATGTGGTTGATTGTTAACTGTCCTCTGGGCAATAAATGCCGGCCTAGCCAGTGATGCCCACATCTCATGAATGAATAAAATGAATGCCAGCCCAGCTGAATGGTTTACTCTTGTTCCTGTATTTCTGCATTCTTCCTTCTCTTGTAGGTTGCATACAGTTCAAGTCAGCAAAGAATAATGGTGTTTTTAAACTGATATTATTTCCTGGTTATCTCATATTGTTTGGTTATCCCATTGTTATGTTAAGTAACATTATCATCAACAGCCGCAGGTGAGGTGCCGGAAGACTGGAGGGTGGCTAAGGCCATTATTTCAGAAAAGGCTGCAAGCAAAAGGCAGGGAACTACAGACTGGTGAGCCTGATGTCAGTAGTGGGTAAGTTTTTGGAGGGGATTCTGAGAAACAGGATCTACGTGCAGTTGGAAAGGCAAGGACTGATTAGGAATAGTCAGTTTGGCTTTGTGCATGGGAAATCATGTCTTGCAAATTTGATTGAGTTTTTTGAAGAGGTGACCAAAAGAATAGATGAAGGCAGAGCAGAATGTCTACATGGACTTCAGCAAGGCCTTCAACATAGGACCACATTGTAGACTGGTTAGTAAGGTTAGATCACATGGGATCCGGGGGAGCTAGCCAATTGGATACAAAATTGGCTTGACAGTAGTCGATAGAGGGTGGTGATACAGAATTGTTTCTCAGACTGGAGGTCTGTGACCAGCAGTGTGTGCTGCAAGGATTAGTGTTGTGCCCAGTGTTACTTGTCATTTACAGAAACGACCTGGAACAGAATATAGAAGGCATGGCTAGTAAGTTTGCAGATGACACCAAAATCGGTGGTATTCTGGACAGTGAAGAAGTTTATTTAAGAGCACAATGGGATCTTGATCAACTGGGCCAGTGGGCTAAGGAATGGCAGGTGGAGTTTAATTCAGATAAATGCCAGGTGTTCCATTTTAGTAAGACAGACCAGGGCAGGACAGAGGATAGGACTTGAGGGGAGGGGGTGGGGTTGTTGTCAAACAGAGATGTAGGAGTTCAGGTACATAGTTCCTTGAAAATGATACACAGGGTGGTGAAGTAGGCATTTAGTATGCTTGCCTTCATAGGTCAGAGTACAAGAGTTGGAACACCATGTTAAACCTGTACAAGACATTGTTAAGACCATATTCGGAGTACTGCATACAGTTCTTATTGCCACGCTATAAAAAGGATGTTATTGAACTGGAAACAGTGCAATAAAGATTTACAAGGATGTTACCAAGACTAAGGAGAGGCTGGGGCTATTTTCCCTGGAGAGTCGGATGCTGAGGGGTGACCTTTTCGAGGTTTATAAAATCATGAGGGGCATGGATAAGGTGAATAGCCAAGGTCTTTTCCCTAGAGTAGCGGAGTCCAAAACTAGAGGGTATTGGTTTAAGATGAGAGGGAACAGATTCAAAGGGGATCGGAGGGTGAGTTGGACAGGTGATTGATGCAAAAGGTTTGAAGGAATATAGGCCAATGTAGGCAAATGGGACTAGTTCAGTTTAGGAAACTTGGTTAGAATGGATAATTGGGCTAAAGGGCCTGTTTCCATGCTGTATGACTCTATGACTCTGTTCTATGATTGCATTATAGTATAATGCTAGTAAGAGATCAATTTGTGGTAGTTAATACCCAACTTTTCCTTTGGCATCGCCAGAGTGCTAACAGTTATTGAGACTGGGAGCTGTACTCAGGTCTCTGAGGGTTGCATTCAATAGTCTAATATCACAGATGCCAGTCTACTCATCTGCTTTAGAATATTTTCAGAACATCTATCATCTTCTCATTTTTACTTGTTTTAACCATTCTACAACAAATATGACACAGTTTTACAAAGGTCAATCTCTGGGAAAATATGTTTATTCTGAGAATGCAAACAAATAAAATTAATAGCCATTTAATCTTTGTCATGTCAGCTCCTTTCCAAAATTTATTAATAATTGCTTAAAAAAAGAGATGTGCCTTCAAAGCATTACACCTAGCACTCATCAGGACACAACTGCAAGAATACCAAACCTCAAAGGGAACAACACTTTATACTTCATCCATTCCCTGGTTCACTCTGAATGACAACGCACTGACAAGTCAGAATTGAATTGCTTGGTTTGAATTTAAACAAAAGCTTGGCAGTTATGTGTTCCCTGGTGCATTCACCACGGCAACACCTCCACCAATCAGAGGCAACTAGTCAGCATCACTTCTGTTGCAGTATGAATTTTTGTTCCATTTGAGATTTGTTATTCTTGCAATTTAGTGCTGCTAAATGTATGACAAAAAGCTCTACGGCAAGTCTCTTTTTTTCTACATTAATTATAGGCATGTTGCTTTATCAGGAGGAAATTTAAAAAAAAAAGTTTACACCAGAGATCCAAATTTTAAGAATTTCCATGAGTCCTGGAGAGCTAAATTACATGACAAGGATGGCACATCACAAACTACTTTCTGTGATAAAGAACAAAATCTAGAGATCAAAGTTTGTCCTCACCCGATTAATAAGCTGTTCTCCTGTCTCTGAAGCGGTTATAAGTTTGCAGAGAGCTTGCAGTGCAGCATGAGGCAACCCTTAACACAAGAGAAAGAGTATGAAAATTCTATACAATACAGTGAATATCCATTATATTAAGACAATGATTTATGTAAATACAAGGACATATACATAGTGGCATATACAAACACCAAAATAAATTAGACAAAGGTACATGAATAACATACATGATTACAATACTGAAACCTTCAGCTTGCAAGTACTACATGTATCTCACATGCCACAACATTTCATGTCACATCAAGGCATTCATTTGTAGTGTACAGAAAACAAACTCTCTAAAAACAAAAATAATAGAGCCATTGGTCTTCAGATTCTTAATTGGCTTGCCTTCAAACAAAACCAGGGTTCAATCTTTAATTTTAAACAGCAATTAACCTTCAAATGAACTCTCCTGCGTTGAATTAATATTTATTAGATCTTATAAGCTTTAAGGGACACATGCCCACACTTTAAAAGCAGAATAATATGTTATGTTTTAGATGGGAAAATATTCCTATCCTTAAAAAATTGGCACAATTGCCAATTCACCCCGAGCATCACCACAGGAGATTTGCTAATATATATCCAGCTGTCACTGTATTCATAGAACACAGACATACATAAATACAATCCATAAGCATTTTGACTTATGTCGGCATATTTATACATGTTGGGTAGATACACAGTATTCAATGCATAAAATGTTAACATGGCATTATTTGTAAACATATCCACAATAATGAAATATGTTCACCTGTATCAAAATAGCATTTAGTAATAACATATATTCAAAGTATGATGTGCTATTTTAAAATGACAGGGATGTTATATCTCCTGAGGAAGTCGTGGGTGTGGGCACAACTACAATGTTCAAAAAACGTTTGGATAAGTACATGAATAGGAAAGGTTTGGAGGGATATGGGCCAGAAGCAGGTAAAGGGGACTGGTTTAGTTTGGGATTACATTCAGCATGGATGGATTGGACCAAAGGGTCTGTTTCTGTGCTGTATGACTCTATGATTCTATGTAATGCAAATGCATTCTTCTGCTACAGTGCAGCAATGCCTTTTGAGCCATGAAGACTACCTGGTGACTAACCAGACCCTCAGTGCATTGAGTATTTAATTATTGTTTGGTCAGAGAACACTGAATATTAAAGGATTTCCCATCAGTTCTAGATTCCAACTGAAACAACATTAGTATTCATAATTGATTTTGAATCTAAACAAAAGTTTAACTTTTCTCTCCTCAGATCTGCTGTTTGCAATCTTTCATGGCATTTTGTATTGGAATTTGGAGTTCGGTTGATAAGAAATATGAAACTTTGTGAGACAAACAACAATGTGGTATCATGGAGTTATCTATCAAGTGTTGTTTGAAAAGGAAAGATTGCTTGCTAAAGATTAAAAAGTAAATTCAAGAGATATTGCATGGATATTCTAACAGCCAATCTGTGTTGTCAATGGAACCTGAGCTAGTGGTCAGATAGAAACCATAAGATGTAGCTTTTCTTAGTGAAGAAGCTATATTGACTTCCTCAGTCTTACAGCTCTCATCCCTACAGCTATCCCCTATGCATATGTGCTCAAAGATAATTAATATTCACCACTCATTTCTCTTAACTTTAACGAAGACATTAACAATATTTAACATTGTGATTGCCCAGATATTAGCATATGTGGTCGTATCGAAATTTGTACTCTTTACGTTGGTGAGCATTATTTGGTCAATGTGTATGAAATGTTGGGATAGATAACTAGGTGACAGTTGAAACAGATCATTATGTATATAAACAGCAATAAATAAATATGTGGCACCATACATGAATGCTACATTATTTACATATATGGTATTAAACAATGGCAATACAGAAGCTGTGATCCAGGTTAGCAATGATAATTGATAATGTGGTGATGAATATGTTTAAGAGAGTTTGAAATAGATACATATTACGGTTATACCATAAAGCATGTGGACATGTTAAACACAGCAGTACATATAAGCCCACTTGCTTTCATCATCCATCTTTTTGGTTACATCAGTTTTCATTCTTCCCTGGGTGTGGATGCAATATTTCAGTCTTCTTGTATCATTTAGCTATAGGAATAATAATTGTTCAATAACTAGGTCTGACAGGACACAGCAGCAAAAGGAACAATTTAACATACAATCATCTGGCTAAGCAAGGTCTTATCACTTTTCAGAATTTTTGTGAGATAAAAAGATTTTAAAATTAATGATTTATTTAACAGCTGCATTTATTTTTTGTGTGTGTGTGTGTGGGTGTGTGTGTGAGAGAGAGAGAGAGAGAGAGTGAGAGAGAGAGAGAGGAAAAGAATGCAGTCTGTGTATAAACTATAAATTAACAGCAACATAATTTTGCAGACATTCTCCAAAAGCAAACACAATGCTGCGTTCTGTATTGTTGACTGAAATTTCTACATATACGTCATTATTACCTATTCTGTGACCTCTGAGGAAACCTCCACTGATGCAAATTCAAAGCTGCAGTAGTTTTTTTTATTTTAAATTGAAGCGCTTTTTAAAAGCAAATGTAATGAGGGAAGAAACTGTCAGAAATGTCACAGTGCGAGACAGCTCAATGCATTTATAAATGCATAATACCACTGGGAGCGTAATGAGACCAGCAACAATCACAAAGGATGGGATTTATTTTAATGTATTATAATTAAAATTAAGTAATTCTATCAAAAAGTACTTTGGGAAATGAAATATACCAGATCAGTCGCAACCACAAGCCATTCTCCACACCCAGACTCTAGATCCTTTTACAGAATCTGTTGTTCCACAATCAAGAGTGAAACTCTGCCACCAGTCTTCCACACTATCTCCACCCTCAGCAACCCACACCCCCAACCAACCACAGATCTTAACAAAGTGGTTATTTTGTTTAGTTCAGACACAGTAATACAAACATCAATGCTCCTTCTACATGTATCAAATTCTCTTTTGGCTATCGGGGTGTGATACGAGGCCCTTATGATCACTGACTATAATTCGAGCACATGTTCTCCTTGATTGATCAGGTAAATATGCCAGTGCAGCATTTAAATAATACAATCCAGAAAAATCTTTAGTTCCTATCATTGGTCTGAACTAAACTAGATTAATTACTACGTTATTTGTGCAGCATAATAATTTACATTAGGTGAAGGAAACAGAGCAGCCTATCCCAGGTATCCATCCAGAAATAGCTGCTAGAAAATATTTTTAGGTGGGCCTTAGGCAATGACCGCCTCAGGTTCAATTGTGAAGACCTTCCCCACTGTTGAATAGTCTACCAATGTTTGCTGACTTGCCATAAATGCAAAAAAAAAATGGATACTGGATAAGGCCCTAGGTATGGGAGGTTAGGGTTTATGGAAAAATAGACCCATTTTGCAAAATAGCATAGAGGAGACATTTGGGCAACGCCACTCACTTGGGGACTACGGACTTAAATGCCCTAAATATGGATCGCTTTCCCTTCAAAACCCCCACTGTAAAAGCTGCATGGTTAGAGGCTGCCAGCAGAGTAAATGCAGTTACCTACATTCCTCATATCTGGCTGCAAAATGAGAAATAAGGTTTCTGTAACCAAAATCAAGGTAGAGGTGAAGAACTTGTTAAATTTTACACACATCTTGTGACAGTCATCATGACATAGCTGGCAATCTTCACACCCACTGGGAAGTAACTCTTCATTCTGGGGTTCAAATTCAGGTTAATCTGATGACAGAAATCTCCCATTTCTGACATGAAATGAAGTTAGGGCAATTCCAACAGTTGTCAGATAACAAGGTGTGGAGCTGGAGGAACACAGCAGGCCAGGCAGCGCGCATCAGAGGAGCAGGAAACGTCAGCTTTCTTGCTCCTCTGATGCTGCCTGGCCTGCTGTGTTCCTCCAGCTCCATACCTTGTTATCTCAGACTCCAGCATCGGCAGTTCCTACTATCTCCAACAGTTGCCAGTTGTGATACATAAGCAACACAAGGCTATTCACATTTTGTCAAAATTAGTGGTAATCTGCATCTTAAGCATAGTCAGTGCTGCAAACAAAATAGACATAATGTGGTGGGGCGAAGTGCCTATCTGGTGTTATGCAAAACACATTACTGCTGCAAAGGGAATTTCATTAGCATTTCAACTGTGCTGCACACAACTTGACAATGCCTAATGTAGAAGACTACTAGAAGCTATTTCCTGCATCTAATCTCTTCCTGGAGTATTTGAAGAGAACATTGTCCCTTTAAGGGTGCATTATTTAGTGTTCTGAATGCTACGCAACATAAGCTATTTAGACTCTTTTGTAAATATACTATAGCATGTATGTCAAGTCATTTTTTTTCTTGTAAAATTGTTGGTCTTCATCTTGCCAGACGTGTAGTGAAATTGAAAAGAATCGGAAAAGCTGGAAATCTGAACTGGAAACAGATATGCACATCAGGGTCTGCCAGCTAAAAGAGAAAGTACAGGTTAACACATTAGGTAAGATCCCAATGCAGCGTGCTATTTTTACCTAGGAGTGACTGGAGCGTGGTGCTGCACTGCTGAAGCCGATCTCCAGGATCTGACACTGGAAAGAAGACAGCGGCTGGAAGTCCACTGGCCGGAGGGTCAAGCCTGAATCCTACTGCAGTAAGGAGTGACTGCCAACCTGGGACGCCACCCACTTTGTTCTCTACACTGTGCTGGGAGGTGTACATAGAATTCCGTTGGCCATTCTGTATTCGCTGGAGTGACTTCTCCACCTGAAAGTAATAAAAAAGAGAACTGACTTTTCATTCTTGAGACCTACTATATTATTTACTGCCAGAAAATCTACATGAGAATAGAAAGTAACAGTCTTGAAATTATGCTAAGCGTACCTCATTTTATATTAAATGTGTCAATTAAAATACACTAAACCACCAAATAGCGGAAGCTTGTAATAGTGTTAATTGCTTATGCTCCATTACTATGTCGCACAACTTTAAAACAGAACTTTTATAGGGCCATTTCTAAATTTAAAACACATGGAACCGAAACGTCAGCCTTCCTGCTCCAATGATGCTACTTGGCCTGCTGTGTTCATCCAGCTCTACACCTTGAATAACTCTCCTACTGCCTTCCAAACCAGTTAGACACAAATGGGTGAAGGTGGCATTGATATCTAACCTGTTCCATAGAAATTGCACCCATACAGGGGGATGATTTCCCTTTGGCTAATGAAAGTCAAAAGGCAATTTTTTTCCTACTGGTATTTCTATTGATGTTGTGAATGAATTCTTTTCAGAATGGTTTAATGAGGTTGCTATGAATAACAAAATATCACATTCCTACTCAAATTCCTAATCCCTGTCCTGCAACTATTCCCCTAAACAAGATGGTGAAGTGTCATAACAGAGCTTTTGCAATGCAACATATTCAGCAATAAACGACAGTGTGGAACTGGTTGAGGCTGTTATTGCCATGATATTTGCTTAAGTGCCTGCCTTTGTACCTATGTCTACCTGCTGCCTGACCTGCTTCCCCTTGATGGGTAGGATACGTCAACAAGCAGAATATTTTCACAACCAGGCTTGTTACCTCAATTTCAACAGGATGATGGGCTTATATCACCAGTCACCAAAAAAAATGATAAAAAGAAACACATTCTTTCAGAAGGATTACCACACAAAGCATAGATTCTCATTTGTAAAACATCATTTGAAAAAAAGGCTGTGCAAAGCTGGAAGAACACAGCAGATCAGGCAGCATCAGAGGGGCAGGAAAGTCTACGTTTCGGGTTGGGACCCTTCTTCAGAACAAGGGTCCCGACCCAAAACGTCAACTTTCATGCTCTTCTGATGCTGCCTGACCTGTCGTGTTCTTTCAGCTCTGCACTGTGTTGACTCTGACTCCAGCATCTGCAGTTCTTGGTATCTTAAAAAAAGAAATGCTGTTTCTCTCACAATGTCCAACTTGTCCATGAACTATAATTTCGCAAATATAATGATTTGGGAAAGTTCTACGTCCAGAAAAGTACATGAGATTATTGCAAGACCTGTTTAAGGAGAGCCAAACAAGACTAAAAAACAGTATGGGACAATGAGAGTTTTGAAACGAATGTTGGATGATACCAAGGATCAGCATTGAGCACCTTCCTTTTCCTGATTGTCATGGATGTTCTAACTGCGTAAGGGCAGCTGGAAGTGCCATGGTTAATGAGGTGTGCAATGTGGTGGAGGTGTTGAGAACATGACTGAATATTTAGAGCACTGAGAAAAGCACAGGCCCCATTTCTGGCATGTCAGTTTGAGCCCAGGAAAGAGGATCAGAGTGAAAGTGTAAAAGTTATGGATAAAGACTTGGAAAAATTTAATGGCTTCAAGAATATGGGGTCAGCAGTAGCAGAAGGTGCAAGTGTAAAAACAGGAATGAAGAAACAGATTAACCCTGATTGAAATAATTGGAAGATGTGAAGTGGAAGAATCCAAAGACTGTTGTGAGTGGCCTACATCTACAATGGTAAACTTCAAGGAGAGAGCAGCAATGGATGGATGTTAATGAAATGAATGTGCTGAGATGAAAGTGTGAAGTAATGAGAAAAGACAAATCAGAAACCAATAAATCAGTGAAATTGCATGAGGGTCAAAGAAAGTAACCAAGATGAACAGAAATGACTTGGTCACACATCACAAAGATAGGGAAAATATGGCATTGGGGTTCCCAACGAGTGAGATCCACTCTGCCCCTTTCAGGGAAAGCCAACTGATTCACATGCTAATCAGGCAGGTGGCAGGGGCACTGGAATCAGGACCCCAATGGTAGAAGTCCTGCCTAGTCAAAACTGAAGACGTCTGAATGGCCAACTGCTCGTGTTCAGCAGCACCAGAGAGGAGACCACGGCCACTTGCCCTGCCATACTGGCTGCCCACATGCCCTGCAGCCACATAATCCACCCATATCCCCCCACACCAAGTCCCAGAGCAAAGGTAACTCATGTCGTGGTGAAGGCAGAGTGAGAATCTTGAGTTAGGGATCACAGAGAAAGGTGCAAATGGAGGCCAGAAGGATAGAAAGATGGGGCTGGGGTGGATAGGTAGATAGATGGCCCACGGGCAATCCCTGTTTGTAGCTAGTCCCTCAATCAGACACTGACTACCTCTGGTTGAAGGACTCTCATTAACAAACTAAGGGCACAGCAGCTGCAAATCCACGCTGTTCAAGTCACATAGCTGACACTCTCTCGCACATACAACTCCATTCCCTCACCCTACTCATGCTGAACCACAGCGTCACACAGTTTACCTGTCCTTAGCTACAGCCCATCAAAACATCCAGCTAATGAACATCACATACAGTCTAAGAATCGGACAATTCGAAAGATGTGCTTTTATTTACAGCAACCAAAAGCAAAATCAGGCAAAATGAGTAGGGGCTGCAGTTCACTCCCACAGTGTAAGCCAAATGCAAAAATATACTCTATTCATAAAAATATCTTCATAAACATACTTAGGCACTAAAACGGTTTGGTTCTGTACAGTAACACAGGAAGAAATAAACAAACATTGGAGATTGACTCTATCCAGCAAATAAACCAAAGGCATTTCTGACTTGTACAGGACCATGTTTACATATATTTGAGGCGATCGATCCCCAATTTAACTTCAGCTGAAAGACCTCAGAGAGAGTGGTCTTTCCCTACTGCGCCTTAGCAGCTGCTGCAAGCTTTAGTGCATCCCTCAGTGCGTAGTCCTAGACCTTAGAATGTGCCAGTCTGCAGCACTTGGTCAGGGTCAACTCCTTGCTCTGGAAGACCAACAAGTTTTGGGCAGGCCAAAGAGCATCTTTCACTGAGTTGATAGTTCTCCAGGTGCAGTCGATGTTTGTCTCCGTGCGCATCCTTGGGAGCAGCTCATAGAGCACAGAGGCCTGCATCACAGAGCTGCTTGTTGAAGATGAACAAAAGCCACTGCATCTTTTTAAGTTATTGCTGCTAACATCAGCATCATTGAGATGCCAATGTTCAATTTGCAAGCACCAGTGACATTATGGAAATTGCATTTGACTAGCATTTGAACCCTAAACATATTCACACTGCTTGCATTGCAAATGTCCAATGAAATGATTGCAAATTAGATGTAACTTAGTCTGAAAGCTGATGCTTCATTTATTCATTCTTTAAATGTCCTAGCAGCCAGCAAATGTGGATCCCACCACATCTGCACCTCAACAGCCATTTCAATTTTTGTGGTATTGTGCCATCTATTTTCCAGTTGCAGTTAGCATCTGGTTAATGGCAAATACTGGCAGGGAACGCAGGTCATCATGGAAACCATCAGCATCATCCTCCATCTGATCATCATAGACACCCCCCACCTCATAGCCTCCATCTGTCTTTTCATCTCAAACTACCCTGTCAGCCCATTTCCACCCCTATGGAGCCACATTGCTTTAAACTTTACCTCAACAATCCTCCTGCCCTCCAAGCTCTGAAATAACACCTTAATGATGCCCGTGCTGGTCCAATATCCTCCCCCTGTGGAGGGCATGGTGGTGGTCACTGCCAATAAAACCCCCTCCCATAGTCTATCTCACCCTCCGATGCTGTTTTGCACACTCTCTTGAGATTCCCCTCCTCCACAGTCCTTGTTCCCACATGCCCCTGCTCCGCCTCCCTCCCCCCCATTTTTGACAATGATCCCTTCCTATTTGGCCTAACAGCTCCCCGTTGTACCCTTCTCAATGCATGGATCACTAGGACTGCATTGGCGCCAGACCTCTGACCAACTTTGATCAACAGCCCCTGGAAATGACCAACCAGACTCCTGACTGACAATATGTGATTACCCTGACAACTTGTAATGGCTTTACATGATGACCACTGCCCACCCCCATGCACATATGTCAGACAGATCCCCTAAACTGGATCAGCCCGAGTGAATGACTTGACCATGGCTGAGACCCTAGAGTCTATGTGTACTGTGTCTGTGACTGACATTACAGACCCTCTGATCAACTGCGCTCCTCCTCCACTTGACTGCATTGAGGACTTGACTCCATCCACTTGCTGACATGGCTATTTGGTTAAATGTACTCCTCGGAATACAACAGGATCTTGATCAAATGGGCCAATGGGCCGAGGAATGGCAGATGAAGTTTAATTTAGATAAACGGTGAGGTGCGGCATTTTGGAAAGGCAGAGCAGAGCAGGACTTATACACTTAATGGTAAGGACCTGGGAACTGTTGCTGAACAAAGAGTGCAGGTTTATTGTTCCTTGAAAGTGGAATCACAGGTAGACAGGATAGTGAAGGCGGCGTTTGGCACGCTTACCTTTATTGGTCAGTGCATTGACTGTAGGTTTTGGGATGTCATGTTGTGGCTGTACAGGACATTGGGTAGGCCACGTTTGGAATTCTGGTCTCCCTATTATGGGAAGGATGTTGTGAAACTTGAAAAGGTTCAAAAAAGATTTACAAGGATGTTGCTAGGTTTGGAGGGTTTGAGTTTTAGGGAGAAGCTGAATAGGCTATCTTCCCTGGAGCGTCGGAGGTTCAGCGGTGACCTTTTAGAGGTTTATGAAATCATGATGGGCATGGATAGGGTAAATAGACAAAGTCTTTTTCCTGGGGCGGGGGAGTCTAAAGCTAGAGGGCACAGGTTTAAGGCGAGAGGAGAAAGATTTAAAAAGGACCTAAGAGGCAACTTTTTCACACAGAGGGTGGTGTGTGTGTGGAATAAGTTGCCAGAGGAAGTGGTAGAGCCTGCTACAGTTACAATATTTAAAAGGCATCTGGATGGGTAAATGAATAGGAAGGGTTTAGAGGGATAAAAGCCAAATACGAGCAAATGGGACGAGATTTATTTAGGATATCTGATCAGCATGAATAAGTTGGACTGAAGGGTCTCTTTCTGTGCTGTATATCTCTATGACTCTGTGACTCAAAGTGTGTTTGCTGCCCAGACAGCTGGCACATGCTGTAGGTATTATCTTGACATTCTGGTGTGCCATACAACAAAATGCTCCTCCTTTCTCATGACTGGACAGATCCCACTGACATCCTACCATATGTCGATGCAAAAGGACACTTCAGTACAACAGTACTGACTGACTTTGGCTTTGGCTGAAATGCCAAAGCAGTGATAGGCAAGACAAGGCATAGTTGCTGCAAGCGTGCAGATGTGCACTAAGTGAGCAAACACTTAAGAGAGCAAACAAGCACCCCTGAGATGCAGCCTGGTTCAAACCATGAGCTGGCTGCCTGTCTCTAGGAGCAAAGAGTCCTTGCAGCAGCCTTTCAACATTAATTGCTAGGGTGCCATGTAATGCAGATCGATTCTCCCTAAGTGTCCTACAAATGGATCGGAGAGGTACCAGGAGAATCCTGAGGAGTTGACAAACATTGGATGCTAATGTCTGTGCACAAGGTGTGGGTGAGATTGGTTCCCATGGATTGTGCTCTCAGATGATGTGATGTGGTGAGCAACATGGAAGCTCTTTGCAGACAGCAGTGAGCTGAAGTCACCATGTACCTGCTCTGACTTCCAGGTAAAAGATTCTTGCTATCTAGTTTGATGTTGGCGGCTGGATAGATGGGAAGCTGCAAATTAATGAGGCAAGATATGCAGTTACTAATGTCATTAACAAACATCAATTCCCCTTAAAAGGCAATTCGACTCCCAGGACTTAGTTAATAGATGCATCTTGTTGCTCCCAATATACCAAGCTAGGTTTCTCCTGACTTCTTGTGCAATTCTGCAATAGTCCACATCGTTCAGGCCCCTATAAGATTCCACCGTATGACTATCAGTGGATCAGAATATGGATAGAATTGAATGGGCAGAGGATGCAGAGGAGGAGCACAAGTTTAAAGAAGATTACAGAGATAAGATCTAACAAAGCCACAAAAGACTTCCAAGAAAGGACATGGAATTGGTATGCATATTTTATTTGTTTAGTCTTTCCTCCAATTTTCTGTCCTGTTTTCTCCCCTCAAGTCTTATTGACTGAGCAATCATTCTGTGTGGGTCTAAGTCTGCACCTAACCTTATTTCCCAGGCACAAATGTGCACTTTTGCATGGCATTAGCTTGCATCTGTAAAGAGCGTTTACTTGTTATTTTCCTTCCTAGCCAGGGACAGGAAGGATATCCCCACAGCAACATAATAATGGAATCTGAAACTTCTCCATCTGTGTGGTGGAATCTGCTACAGCAAAAAATACCTAAAGTCAGAGGAAAAGCTGGACAGACTAGAGTTCTTCAATCTCAAAACACAATACCTCACAGGAATCTGTCAGAGGCAAATTAGGAACAATCATTGAGGCCAGAACATTGGAACTGTTGATGTTAATGTATAATAACATAATGGATATATGGTATGGTTGATTTTCCAGAAAGATGACTGCAGATGGGATAAAGCACTTTCAAGATCTGAACTGTATGATCTATTGATTTAAAGAACTGAAACGTGTATAAAGTTTAAGGTTTTTCAAATAAGGATTTTCTGTTACTTAAGATGTAATCATTGCTACATTTGCTCCCACAAAGCCATTTCAACTTTTGTTTTCAAGACTGCACTTTCATCTCCTATCTTTTCATTTTATCATTCATCTTAAACAGTAATTGCACCCCTGCCATTTCCAACTTCCCATATTCTCCACACACTCTGAGCTGAAAGAGAATAAATAAATTGCTCTATGCTTTAAACATTTCTGTGAAGGACACTTCTTAAAACATGTTACCATGTCAATTAACTATATGAAGTAAGCTGTGGTATTTTAAGTTACTAATTAGTTAAGTTATTTGGTTTTTAAGCATTAACAACAATGCAATGTATTCCACAGATCGAAGTTTGTATCCATGATTTTTAGGTCCTGGCCACCTTGCAGAAGTTGCATGAATCACGGTCACAACCCCATTAGGCAGCTTATAAAACCTCTGTAAAGATCTGACTTCCGCATGGTAATGTACACTGTCTAATTATCTTGCAACACATAGCGGTCCCTCCTATATCAGGGTCCTAATAATGACAATGTTTTTAAGATCATGAGAAGAAACAAATTAAGAACAGGAGCAAGCCTCTTGAACCTATTGCAGTATTCAATAAGATCGTGGCTGATTTAGCTGTGGCCTTCATTTTACTTGCCTGCCATGTAACCCCTGACCCTTGTTGATCAAAATTCTGTCGACTAACTTTTGAATATATTAAATGATCCTGATCAAACCATGGAACACATAACATCTTGCTGTCAACTCAAGTTTGAGGACAACACCTTGCTCTGATGTTGCTCATCACGAGCAAAATCTTTCACATCTTGTAAGAGTTACACTTGATCTCCAGCAGGACATTGTACTGGTTAGGGAGCTTGCCATTAAACTATGATGGCAGCTTCTGCTCTTGAAGTTATTTTTAGAAATATTTGTTCAAGCGATACGAGCATCACTGGCTAGGCCAGCATTTATTGCCTATCAGTAATTGCCCTAGAAAAGGTGGTATTGAGAGCTGCCATCTTGAACTGCTACAGTCTGTGGAGAATTGTACACCCACAGCGCTGTTAGTAAGTAACTTTCAGGATTTTGACCCAATGACTGTGAAGGATGGCCAGGTTCCTCTTTATTGCAAAAATTTGCAATTTCTCTCTTTATATTAATAATATTTTTCTTCTGTATTCTTCCTGCCAAAATGGACAACCTTATATTTTACTATATATGCCTTTAGCTGGTCACATAGACCACTAGTTGGAAGAAGCAGTGTGATTCAGCTAACATTAGTTGTTATTTTCTAATATGCTGTGGGATTCAAGTTCATCAACAAAAGTTCTTTTACTTTTTTTAGTTTCAAGCGACAACTGCATTTTGTAAATTCCAAACAGGGTTAATATTTTCCTTTGACATTAATAGTACGCTGAAGGTTACAATATTGGTACAAGATACCACACAAAGAGATGCAGCTCTCCCCCTCCTTTCCCCGACCTGTTTCAAAAGGCTGACTGAGTAGCTCACAGATTTACAACATACCAAGTGCAGCAGAACACGGAGAGCATCTCGGGCACGGTCAGGATGTTGGAGGATTTCAGACAGTGCCTGACCAATAAGAGATGACGGGCTGTTCAATTTAACATCATTACCAATCAGCGTGAATCCTGAAAAGAAAGAAGAGGTTTTAGATAACAAAATGCTGAAACCTTTTAGCAAATACGAACGGACATTTGTAACCTGGCTACAATTAAAAAAAAGGTATCAGTGTGTAGTGTGATTGCAATCATACAAAGCTGCTGTATAAGCCATGCACAATGCATAACGACTGAAACCCCTGTACAAAGTACTGTAATTGTAATGCCTGTATAATGGTGACTTGTAAACTACATATTAAAATATGACTGTAATTTCTGTGTAACAGTGACTATATGTCAATTGTAATCAGTGTAAAATAGTGACTGTAATTCTGTATTAATATTATTAGAAAAGTAATTTTCATATTAAACATGACGAATGTAATCTATACGTAATGCATCATGTTGAATCATAATATAAAAGTGATTAGAATGTTGATGAAACACGGTTGCCTATATTTGACAAAAAAGAGCTTCTGGACCCAATTGTATTACATCACCAGGATTGTCTGCTTCCAACTGTTAAATTACCTCATGTCTACCTGTGCCTCTGCTTATCTGCTATTGAAACACATATCCATGCCTCGATTATCTCTAGACTCTATCATCCCAATGCTTTTTGCCTGGCTTCCAACCTTGCATGCTGCATAACTTCAGCTCTTTCAAAAGTCTGTTGCTTGTAACCTTATTTGCACCAAGCACTATCTATCAATTATGCATGCTCTTTGTACATCAGTATAGAGACAACACATTTATAAAATATCTTGGGACATTTAAGTGTAAAAAGGTGCTATACAAATGAACAAGTTATTGTGTAATCTCTATATCACAGGCTCACTGTAATCATAATGTAACATTGATTGTAATCTCCTTCTAATATCTCATGTTTGCAATGTTTAAATAGCATATTGTGATAATTAATAGCAAATAGCATATAGTGATCGCTGAAGAACATGCCTGGAGATGGGTCCCATGTCTGGGGGAAGAGAGTCTACTTCGAGAGCTGGCAACCCAGGAATGAGTTTTTAAACGACGAGGAATTTTTAGTCGTTTTTATTGCAGGTCACCGCCCCACACCCACGGCCACCCTCCAATCCCAACTCCAGAGTGCATGAGAGCGTTGGGCTGGGAAAGAACACTTGTCCTTCTCCTGGCACAGAAACTTTAAATTTTACGCTTTAGCTTGCATGGATTCAGCCTGCCTCATATCCTTTAAAGAGCCAGGTTACGCAAAGGCCCAATGTGTAGACCCTGTTTCTGATCTTTTTAATTTTAACCTCTATCCTGACCCCAAAACACCTGTTTGTGAGAATTATTATTCAGCGATAGTAATTGCTGTTTGACATAGTGCTGTAACCTCCAAACTATGTCATAGCTGTAATTCCTGAATATATGACTATAGTGACTGTGGTTCCCATATTTATGATACATTTATAAAATTTAAAACCACAATACAGTTCTTATGGATGTCATATGAACAATTTTGCTTCTATGCATGAGCTTTTTCTACACAGTTACTGCATTTCATGGTATGTTCAACTGCTCATACAGAGTAACAGAAAAATAAAATAAAATTATGGGATGCAAGATACCCATGGGTAGATAGTACCAAATGTAGTGGCTATGGTAACAACAAAGTTCAAATATTATTATGAAAGCGATGATACTGTAAGACAATAAATCAGGTAATTTACAATCTGGCAGGTAAATCAGCAGGAAAATGGTTCACTCATCTTCTGAGGGAATGCTATTTGCTATCCCTCCCTGATCCAACCCACACTGAATGTCAATTCCAAACTGTGTAGATGACTTGTATGTTTGAATAACTTAAGAGCAGCTAGGAATGGGCTATAAACCACATTTTGTCAATGCCACCCACGTACATCCTAAGAGCATTTTTAAGATCCATACTCTTGCATAGATTTTAGGAAAAAAATCTACCCACATAATAGTTTAAGAGTCTGGAAACTCACATCAATCCAGCTTTTTCTCTGGGTATTGTGCACAAAGCACCTGAAGCTGCAGCTGAATACTACCATCTTAAACTGAACCTTACAGATGTTCAATATCATCCTGGGGGTAGGCTCATCACTACTGCTCACTGCTATTTTTAAACACCCAAAATCTGATAACCAAGTGCAAAAAGATCAAAGAATTTTAAGTGAAAATTACATTCCAATGAGTGCAAAGCAGGATTCTGTGTAAGGTTCTGCTCTGCTTTAAGAACATTGCGCTAGAAGCTAGCTCCACCACAAAACTGACCCCCAGATCAAATTAATCACCATTTTGAGATTCTGTTATTTGTATCTGGGGAACCTCTAAAAACTAAGCATTTTTCCTTTATGTTTTAAAAACACATATTATTAAAGGTTCACTCAGAGATGACCCATCGTACACCAATGCATTTAATAAAAAAGAATATATACAGGGCCATTTAATCATTTTCAGTTATTTAGAATCGAGCTGTTCACGGATGATGGAGTACATACGGTGATTAAAAAAGTCTTCTATTTTGGGACGAATCCATTTTCAGTCCTATTAACAAAGCTGCAGCAGGTTGCCATTCTTAACTGTATGAAGGAATATTTCCGAACTCTGTTTCTTAAATTAGCATTCTAAAATGCTGCTTGATTGCACTGATTCATGGCCAATTTCACATTCAATGATAGGAAAATGACTTGAGCGAATAAATTTAAAAAAAAATTAATTTTACAAAATGAACACAATTTTCAACTAGATCACTGATTGTGCCAAAGTGACAATTGTTGGCTCACATGTTTCTCCTCATGTAAGTATCACACAAATTGGTTTTCATATGAGATTCTAGCATGGTGTAACTGGCCTTCAGCAGAAACAGGCTCATTGTAAATTAGAGGATAAATCCATTGATAAAAAACAAAACTTCCTGTGGTGTAAAACTGGCTATCAATTCACTCTCAGCCTATTTCCAAGCTATTGGCACACATGAAATTCACTCTGTTCTTTTATAAAGTACTTCCTGCCTTGCTCTCATCTCCTTTCATCAGTGACAGTGATAACAATTTCAGCTTGTTCATTTCATGTCCTTTTTAATTAATTAATTTAGTTAATTAATTTGATTTTTGACGACAAAGTGCCCTTATGCGTATTCCAGACTGTGTCCCCTGTTCTGTGAAATCTCAAGTACCTGTCATATAAAAAGGAACATTTGCTCCCTTCTGCAGGCAGGTAATAGAAACTGACGGATAATCGAGGCTCCATAGGGATAAGGAGCACACTAATCAGCTGTTCAGGAGGAGCAGTGGTGCTTCATTTACAGTACTTTCCTTACCCACTGGTTCTTTTCAATCCCAGTACTTTGAGGAAGAGTACGTAAGGAGAGCTCTGTGTAAGAGCTTCCTCCATTCCATTAACAGCTCATCACTGTATTTGTTCCTCTCACTGCTCCTGACAACAAGATCTATTAGATCCCCGACTGCTTGCAAACATAAGTCAGAACTTGGGACATGGGAGCACAGCTAATTGTGGTTCAATTATCATTTATTTTTACCGGTCACCTCATCTCTTGTTGTCACTTAGTGATCGCACCATCTTGCATTTGTATAGCATCTTTATAATGTAATCTGCCAAATTGTGGATATGGAGCTGGTCTTTTTGACCACCTAGTCCCAGAACATGTTAATGCTCAAAAGTTTTGTGTTGCTTGCTTTTCAGTTACCTGCCCAGTTTGAAGGATGTGCAAACTGCTTGCTGCTCTGCACAATCTTCATGGCTTCTCCAAGCGCTGCACTGGATTTCATTCCATTGAGCAGAGAGGAGTAGAAGGTGTGGACAAACATCTTGGATGCAGCCACTGGAACCGGCCAAAGAGAAACCAAAACGCAATGTGCTCCCGCAGCTAGAAAGGCCCGGGTCAGCCCAATAATGCCATCTGCTGTTACTTTGTTGTTCGACTCTTGGTAGGAGCCAAGAACGACCAGCTTGACAGGAAGATGCAATTCCAAGATGTCAGCTGCTGTCAATAAAAACTCTTGCAGTGGTGGGCTGTCAGTTATGCTCTCCACGTCACTAGCATCATCTTGCATCCTCAGAGACTCTGGAATCGTGTAGCTGTTTCCAATAGAACTCTTCCCGCCAATGCTGCTTCCTTCATTATTCGGTGTGAGGACCAAAGCAGCTAGTTTCCAGGAGATGTGGGTTGCAAAATGAATGCATTCTGCCTGACTGAGCATGCTCATCACCCTTTCTTTGGTAGCTGCCGTGCTTACCAAGGGCTGGCAGCCCAACAGCTCTGAAACCATGTAGGCCTCTTCCTCAGCAGACGGCATCGGTCCCCAGAGCCACCGGTCCATTACTGCTGACGGAAGTTTGGGATTACCTATCACAGCTGCCATTGAGGTAGAGGAGCTGCACACAGATGTGCTCTTTCGAAGATGGGACTGTACAAAACAAGATACAAATGCATATAGTTAGCTGTTTCAGTGCAAGCAAGAAAAATCTCAAACGTTTAAAGCTATGTTCCAGAGGGGCAGTGTAGCCTCAGCTTTATGTTCTCTTTATTTACTGGTTATTATAAAAGTATATTTCTTTGAATATCTAGCAATGAACAATGGCTCGGCCATCACCAGTGCTGCTTTAGTGGAGGCAATAGGAATCATACAAGAGTCAATGAGAGTGAATATTCTGAATATTTTCATTCAACAGTAAATGCAGTTAAAAAAGCAGGGTAGGATAGGAATCTCAAAGATAAGTTAAGGTTAACTGAATGATAAATGAGGAAGGGAGAAAATAGGGTAAGAGAAATCTGGTAAAAGCCAAAGTACCAAGTAGAGAAGATGGTGTGCAAGGTGAGCTAAAGAGAGGGATAAAATTTAACTGCCCAGTCATATGGGATTGCACAGGAATCCTAAGTGAAAATCTGAGTCCCTGGAGCATAATAAAATGTCCAACAGGGTCAGTCCGGATGAACAAGGTGAGCAGGCCTTGTGAATCCTGCAAAGGTTGGGTCACAATACCAGGAATCGATAGTCTGTGTGAGGGTACGGAGTGTTTAATCAGTTCAAGAATACAGATGTGCAGGAATGTGTTACTTTGTTGGTATGAAACCAGGGACACAAGCAAGAGTTGTCAAGGGGGCTGGAGTGCAACAACAAAATCAGGCTATCAGAGCATGAGAATAAAGATAGACAGGGAAGAAGGGAAGAGAATGCCAGGCTCAGCAATGAAGTCCTGTATTATTACTAAATTAAATTGATGGAAGTCTTGGAGAAATATATGAAAACTGGGTCTTCTGGACACTGTCATGCAGGGGCAGAAAATATACACATAACAGCTGCTTTAGAACATATGTTATTGGACAATATTTCCAAGGACAAGCTTTATCGAAATTGTTAGTTCAATGAGGAAGCAGCACAGTAAAAGCGTGTTGACAAGTTCCTACCCTGGGGCTTGCTTGAAGAGCCCGGATTGAGGGAACAGCGATGATACTGAACCGTTCATAGAGATACTCATTTGAAGAGCTCCCTTTCAGTAGAGCAAATGGAATGAGGTATAATTCCCCTTCCAGGACTAATACAAGCTGACGGTGTCGGCCAACAGGTCCACTGGAATGCATTAATCCCTAAATAATCAATAGGATAAAAAAGATTGTTAATTATATGTAAAAATTATCATCTCTTTGGTGAAATAACTACTATAGCTTACAGTGTTGAGATCAGCTACTGATAAAACTTCCTGGTAGAATAGATTACAATTAGTAAAAACTCGCTCGCTCCTTCCTCCCTGCATAACATCCTTCCAAATACAGCCATCTGTCAACAGCAGAGCTACCATAATTCTTCTTCAGAAAGGGTCCCGACCCGAAATGTCAACTTTCCTGCTCCTCTGATGCTGCCTGGCCTGCTGTGTTCCTCCAGCTCCACACTGTGTTAACAATAATACCTTCTGGTATTGTTCAGCAGACATCTTCATAGGATTGAACAATCAGAAGGGAGAGCGAAAAACAATTAGAGGTTCAGAGCATGTGTATGCTCGTCATAACACAAATAATGGGAAACCAAGAGTCTGGCAAGAGTCAGAACTTAAATAAATTAATATAGGTAATAAACTGTTGCCTAGAGAAATTAACAGAACTAAGTGAAGACAAATCCCTTGGACCTGACAATGCGCATTCCAAGGATTTAAAACGGGTACTTGCAGACATAGTGGGTAAGCGTGAATTTCTCAGATTCTAGGATAGTTTCTGAGGATTTGAAAACAGTAAGAATGACAGTTTTTTTTAAACAAGGAAAGCGAAATCAGGGAATCAAAGGCTAGTAAGCCTTACATCAGTAGTAGGCAAAATGAAGAACCTTTTAACATGGACCATCGCAACAGGCCAACTAAAACAAAACATCATATATATTAAGCAGAGCCAACACAGATGTAGGAAAATGATATCGTGTTTGACAGGTATGTTAGGAGTTTTATGAGGAGGTAACTAGCAAGGTAGGTAACGAGGAACCTTTGGATTCAGTGTATTTGGATTTTCAAAAACATTTGATAAGATGCCACGTAAGAGTTATTACACAAAATTGGGATGAATGGAATTTGGGGCACTGTATTAGCATGAATTGAGGAGAGTTTAATTGACAGAAAACAATGTGCAGAAATAAAAGGGAAATACTCAGGCAGACAGACTATAACCAGTAGTCTGCCACAAAGATCAGTTATTTACAATCAATATCATAACTTAGGTGAGATATTGCATAATATTTTGAGTACTGTAATAATTTGAGAGTAATACATTCAAATCTATCCATGATACAAAGTAAATATTGCGGGGAGCACAAGGTGGCTACACCAGGATATAAAAAGTTGGGGGAGTGTGCCAGAACATGTCAGATGGAATACAATGCAGCCAATTGTGAGGTTATCCATTTTGCAAAGAGAAAAAAAACATTTTGAAGAGACTGAGATTTGGAAATGTTTGCTTTCAAAGGTACCAGGTGTCCTTGGACATGAATCCCATTATGCCAAATACAGCAAGCAGTTGGGAAGACAAACTGTTTGTTAGCTTTTGTTACAAAGGGATTAGAATATTAGAGTAAAGACATCATACCGCAATTATAAAAGGGGAATAGTGAGGTCACACCCTGCAATACTGAGCTTAGATTTGGCCTCCTAACCTGAGGCAGGATATACTTGCCCTGAAGGAAGTGCAACACAAAAAAAAAACTAGGTCGATTTTTGAGATTAGGGGATTGCCCCATGAACAAAAAATGAATATACTAGACCCATATTCCCTGGAGTTCAGAAGAATCCAAACTAAATTAATTGAAACGTATAAATTTCTTAACGCCTTAACAGGATAGATGCTGAGAAATTATTTCTCCTGTTTCAGGAATTCAGAACACAGTGACAGTCATGGAATAAAGTGTCTGTCACTAAGGACTAAATTGAGGATAAAATTCTTTGTCTCTTTGATTTCTTCAGAGGGATGCAAATCTTTGACTTTTTTTTACTGTAGAGAGCCGTGGAAGCTTAGTTGTTAATATATTCAAGATAAAGGTAGAGAGTTTACTCAGAAAATTAAGGTGTATGGGGATAGTGCAGGAAAATTGTGTTGTTTTAGAAGATTAGCCATGATCATGTTGAAGGGCTAAATGGCCTACTCAAGCTCTTATTTCTTATGTTCTTGTGTTTACTCTTACATAGTAGTTAGACTTAACTGACCCACTGTAAATTGCCAAAATATTCCATCCTGTTTTAGATCAGCAATGTCCGTACCTGCTGTTTTTATATCTTTACATCTTATTAGTTTTGTGTGTCAGTTTAGAAGCACTCAAATAATTAAAGGGTAACAAATAGAAGAGCATTTAGACAATTTCAAACACAATCCACAGGAGAGGAATCTGAATCTTTGTCAGCTTAATTTGTCTGGTTAGCTGGTCAATGTACTGCTATGAATTTAGGCTAATTGTTACAGTTTGACATGTTTACAGTCACTGTTATTACACACAGCTATTATACTATATTAACACATTGTACAAATGGAAGAATGTCAGGAAAACTACACCAGATTTTTGTTTTGCATGCTGTTTCTTCATGAAGTGCAAAAAACCTGTGTTTACTGTGCTGTTAATCTATCATAACTGGAAACCACAAGTCCAAAATTACTGCCACAATAAAAAGCCAAAATGCTCAGCTCCCCACACACCGCCCAAACAAAAAATCAATCCTGAACACTCCCATACATCATACTGGTGTGCTCATTACAGGCTGTGACATGAGGTCAGCAGCACTGACAAATACATGCCCTGAGAGCTCAGCCTCTTGGACGACTCTTCTCCGTTTTGACATATTGTTTACATGTACCACAATTATTCTGGAGGGCTTTGCTCTGCCAACCACCCACAGATGCCACGCTCATATGCTATGCTGCTAAATTTACCATCGCTGGGCAGCCTCAGTTCCCTTTGGAGGCAGAGGTGACAAGCAGCAGCAGCTCACCGGAGGGCATGCTGTCTTCCAGAAACCAGCTTGTATAATTTCAGTTCTGCTTTCTGCACCAGCAGCAACAGCCATCAGCAACATAATGGTGTTTAATCCCTAAAACACACTGACATGTGCCTGGTAAATTTCCATGCGCATTAGATGTCCCCAGAGTTCCACATTTTCAATGATACTTTAATGTTTATAACCTATAAATAAAATGATACGGGCAATTTCCACTTGCACGCAGCTTTGAACTATGTGACTTCATTATACCGAGATAGATGCTTTGCTTCATTCAATAACCATTACAGAATTAAATAAACAATATTAGAGACTTCCCACAGCTATTATACACTTAACTATCCTCAGATACTGAGGAAGCAGAAATTGGTTTTGTGCCTTTAAGCAATTTTTCTTCCCCTTACAATATAATGCAAAAAAAGGATAGTACAGTTGATCACATGGGTATGGAGGGTTCTGAGCTGGTCTAGAGATTTGCATGGTGTATTTACAGAATCTCCAGGAGCACTCATGAGGTTCAGAAATTACAGGGCCCTCCAATACATCCATAATCAACTCTGATCACCAGTTAATTATTTATATTGTATTCAAATTTTAAAAATGAGTTTATTCAATTGTCATCATCTCTCTCTCTCGTACACACACACACACACACACACACACACACACACA